TCAAGAAATAATAAAATGGAAGTTAATTCACAGTATGGTAATGTCTTGAGAATATAGTGTCCAAAGTTAATTTGGAATATGCAAAGCATTTTAGTGATATAATGTGGAGGAGAGGCCAAATGTTTGATTTGTGTGCCTGCCAGAAGGGATCCACACAGCAGTTTGTATTTCCTCTGCATGCTCTAGCCCAGTGATGGCTAGCGTTTTTGAGCCCCAGTGCCCAAATTGCGACGCAAAATCAACTTATCTCAAAGTGCCAACACTGAAAATAAGATTGGTATTGTGTTTTAGTTTGGGCACTGGGGTTTAAAATATGTTCAGCATCACTGCCTTAGGCAAAATAGGGAAACACACATACTCAAACATTTAAGCATTTTATTTTTTTAATTATTTTTTACGTATTCATCACTTTTTTATTTTTCATTTTTTTTAAACTTTTTTTATTTCTTATGTTTTTATTTTTGACTTTCTATTAAAAAAAATGATTTATTGTATTATTTTTTACTTTTTTCCCCACTTAACTTAATTTCTATCACACAGCCCCTGTGTGATGGCAGTTGGAGGTGACAGGTTCTCTGTCACCTCCAAGTGCAGTTCTTCCGTCTCAGTGTTCACACGGAGCAGAGCGGAGAACAGATGTTCTCCGCACTGCTTCTCGCACTCTATCCTAAACGAATATGCCATGGTCCCAGGTTCCCCAGAAGAGCTGGAGACCCCAAAAACAATGGTGGGGAGAGAGGCAGTTGGTGGTGGGGGAGAACGGACGAGCAGGCTTATTACAACTGGTCTCGGTGGGATTACTTGTACTAAAAGAGCTGCTTCCCCACTGTACAAAAAAATACCCGCCCAGCGCATGGAAGTGCTTGTGCTGGGCATCGGGTGAATTTGACACCCCTGCCTAGGCTTGCGTGCCACCAGAGGGGCCCCTGCGTGCCCTCTATGGCACGCGTGCCATAGGTTCGCCACCACTGCTCTAGCCAATACAGCTGCATCCCAAATTACCACAAACTAGATGTAAAACCCTCACTTAGCCTCTTGAGACAAATGTCTGTATTTCAATCTTCAAAAAGTTTGAAAACTCATAACTCTCACACACTGCCACACACAATTATTGCTTGTTATCTCCTGTGTGATAGCAATAAAGTTAGGTAAAAAAAAATTACTGATTTAAAAAAAAAAATGTAAAAAAAATAAATTAAAAAAATAAAAAGGTGATTAAAAAGTAAAAAAATAAGAAAATAATTATACAATGTATGTGTGTTCATGCTAACTCTGAGTGGTATTGCCTGGTTCAGCTAACCTGTAACCAGGGCCATCCTTACCTTTTTTGCGACCTGAGGGGGGCAGGAGAAGGGGGCCGAGCTGTCATCTAGACCAAAGACGGCAAGTGGCCGAGCGGGAGGCGGCAGCTGAGCTCTAGACGGACGTGCTGCCGCCCCCAATGAGATGCCCACTGAGGCTACCCCCTCAAGCTGCCTCATTATGAGGACTCCCCTGTCTGTAACTGCTAAGGAGAGTAGTGTGTATGGTGAGTGAAGTCTGTGTACTGACAAAGTGTCAGAACAAAGTTTCCCACAAGCCTATAATTTGTGGGTGGTGGCAGCTTAGATTAGAAATTGGAGAACTTTGGACAGTGTGCTGGTCGATTTCCGAAGATAAGAAATGGATGGTGATACATCATACATTGTCTATCCTCCTATTTCCCTGTATCCCTCAGGAGATGCCTCCAAATCCATGACAGGGGTCCTTACACTGTATTTTGCCCAGGTGTTTCCACAGACTTTAATCCAGTCCCGGTTGCAGTCAGTAATAGACAAACTATTTTAAATTTTTGTTTTGTGGTTTTTTTTTAACAGATGCGTGCTCATGTAAATTCAAACTGGTTCCTTTTTCGAAAATATTTGGACAATTTTCTTCATACCTTAATGCCTTCTACTTTTGTTCCTCTTTACTCAATGGTAAGATAATTCATTTTATTATACATTGTACGATAATGTAGCGCTCCCCCTGAAGGAGCTGCCAGAATAACCTGGGTCATCACTAGTTTGTCTATGTGTTTTACTATTCAGCTGTCCCATTAGTATTTAACCGCCCTCTTCTAGTGCTCACAAAGCTGATATCCAAGCCAGAAATATAATGCTGAAAAACTTATTGAACATATTCATTCTGGGAGAGAGGTTGTAGAGATCCTAGTCATCCAGGGTAGTACAGACATAGACTCCAGACTCACCAGTCCCATTTTAGCAATTCAGTGTAGATCCTTTTGTAGCACAGTGAATAGATATTTGAGTAGCAGATGAGCAGGGATGAGCACAAATCTTCAGCAGGAGAAACAGCAGACTGAGATCCACTATGTTCCAGGCACCACCAGCAGCTATCAGCTTCCCTGGTTCTCCTCCTCTGATAACAGCAAAGTAGGGCTGCCACCTGTCCAGGATTCACCCGGACAGTCCGGGTTTTGAATGCTGTGTCCGGGTTTCATGGCAGCAGAAACCCGGACACAAGATGTCAGGCAGACAGGGCAACCAAAATCAAGATAGGGGCTACTGGCCCCCCACTGAAAATAGTCTCAACTGTGATATTTACATATGAATGGGTGGCGGTTTTACATATGCATAAGCCACGACTCATTCTCCCCCCAAAATGTCCGTGCGTCACTAGAGCGCGTTCGGGTTTCGCTTGAAGAAAAGGTGGCAACCCTACAGAAAAGGCCTCCTCCAGATTTTAGGCCTAAACAAAACACTTCCTGCACTCAAGTATCCCCACCCCCAGGGCTCAGGCCTAGTCTATGGCAGGCTGGACAACACCCCAACCTGGACTAATCCATGGCTGGAGCCCGACTAGATTGAGCACATGGCAATCGCATCCAGTATATATATATGCAATTACCCAGCATGCAACACTGGTTGAGAGAGACCCAGTGATTGGCTGGTGAATTGCACACACACTCACAGTGCCCCTCATTGGATGTCCCACTCTACAGCAGAGTCACACTCCACTCAGGCAGGTACAATCAATGCCAGAACACCTAGAATTAACCAGATAAATGTCAACTATAATTCAGCCAGACTGTCTACAGCTCTGACAGACAATCACTAGATTTCTAAAAAACTGTTTTCCCTATATTAAATTATGAAACATTTATTAATACCCAATTTTTTAGTAAAACATAAAAGGCGGGGTCACATCGGGTAAAAAGACACAAAACATGCCAAGCCTTAAAATTGCATTCACCCGAGAAACCTCATAAAACTACAATACCCAAAACTGGCCATAGGCGACGCTTTACAAGCTTTTACTGCTGATCAGTTTAATGTTATCAGTGATTGATGGCCCTAAAATCATTGCTCTCACTCCGACTTTTGCGATGATATGTAACATGTGTAGCACAATTGTCGTTTTGGTCCGCTGTCGCATCTGACGCGTATTTACATTTATATGTGCGTAAACGTGGGGGTGGGGGACTTTGTGGGGGGTTTTTTACATTTCTTTATATGTGACTTTTATTTTTTGTAAACTTTTTTTACACTTAATGTTATTGCTATCACATAGGGGGCTAACAATCCCCCTGTGTGATAGCACAGGCACAATGACAGGTCCTCCTTATGGAGACATTAGGGGTCTCTAAGACCCCTAATGTCACCTGGGGACCCCCCAAAAAGCTGATGAAGCAGAGAGCTTCTTCTCTCTGGCTATGGCTGCCAGATGACTGACAGGTGAATGCGGAAGTGATGTAATACACATCACTTCTGCATTCAGACCCCGGAGGGAGTTCGGTAAGGAGGAAGATGCTGACCTCCCTCCCATCTTCTTCTTGACACCCTAACGAGCTGGTCTGCGCTCGGCCGGCTGTCACTTTCTCTCCTCCCCGCTGGGACACAGAGCAGCGCCCAGCGGGGAGGAAAGAAAGCAGGGATGCGCCGCTGTATCAGCAAAAAAATGGCACTTTCAGCATTTAGCCAAAAGTGCCATTTCGGGACGATATCTTTTGGCGGCCGATATATCGGTGCAGCCCTAATATTTACAGCAATGCAGAATGGCACAGGCTATAGGGGACTACACATCCCAGCAATACTTTATATAACAATAGCATTTCTGTATAAAGTACTGCTGAGATTTGTAGTCCTCTATAGAGGGTGCCATTCTGCATTGCTTCAACAGTACTTTATACGACGTTAGGCTACAAATAATAATTATTTTAATGAGTTATTTACCCTTACCTCTTCTGTCTTCAGCTGTTTCCTGTGTGTGTTCTGTTCACTGGGTCCTCACTGCCGTCCGAGGCCCCATGATGTGCCTCCAGGGCTGTCTTCAGTGCCTCCTTGTTCCGTGGCTCCCTCCTCACAGCGGCCGGCGGGCCCCATACTATCTCAGCCGGCGGACAGGCCCCCCATTTCAGTGCGTCGTGGGGCGCCCCCCCCATTTTGGAGTGCCAGATGTTAAGATCAGTATCCGGCGGCTGGCGGGCCCCCCATCTCTGCGCCAGGAGTGTCGGATGAACGGATGATCCGACACTCTCGGTGCAGAGATGGGGGGCCCGCTGGCTGCTGGATACCGATACGGTGCTGGGACTGTGCTGCCCCCCCCAGTCCGAGGCCCTGGTGCGCCCCTGGTTACAATGCTACCAGAATCTAGCAAAGCTGTAACTGGCTTTCCATCAACTGAAATAATACACATTTGTTTCTCTAGACGTTCCTGACATGATGCAGTACACACCACTTGCGCAAAGAAAGACATGCGTTTTCACAACATAGCAATATCACATTGCATTGTTTCATCAGTCAATGGACAATTAACAGCAATATGTTCTAACCCATGGCATCGAAAACATTTTTATAGGTTCTGCACCCAGTCCTTTATATGGCCTCACAGACCTTCCTGGCCAGGCCAGTCAATAGGTCCAGAGCCTATAGTCTCTTCATCTTCAGCAAATGTCTTATAATTTTCTCCTGTGCCCTTAAGCCTTGAAACAAGTTTACCAGGTCCTCTGGGCAGTTGTGTGTGAGATGGGACAATCAAGCACAGGAGTACTTAGTAGGTCTGTAGCTGTGGTGTAACGCTCTACCATGTCCACTAGCTAGTTAGCCGTTTGGGGTCTCCATGGCTGGCCCATTTCCTTAGGGTGGCAGGAAGATCGGATTAACCCCTTCATGACTGAGCTAGTTTTCAGTTTCTGTTCATAAATGACTGACACGCTTTTTAAATTTTTGCTGTGTGATTCTTCCACAGCAGTAATATACTTTCTTACTAAATGTACCCACACATATATATTGTTTTTTAGAGGACAGATAGGGCTTTATAATTATATCAAACATGTACCTAACGCCTCACTTAGTTTGAATCAAATATAAAAAATGAGGAAAAAAACTAGAAGAAAACACTTTTTTCACAAGTTTTTATTATTGTTTTGAAATTTTATATAATAATTATAGTATAAAAATATATTTATATATAATTTTTATTTTCCTAATTTTGTTTTTATACTTTGTAAAAAAAACTAAAAAAAAAACACTTTTTTTTGTTAGTTTATATCAAGCAGTCACTATGACAGCTTGATAAATTAACTTTTTAAAAATGTTTTTGCCTATTAGGCTGCTCCAAACTTAGGAGCAGCTTAGGAGCAGCTAATAATAACCTTAGAGACTGATCCTGACAGCATGTCAGATTCAGATCTCACTAAAGCTCTTTGATCGTGTCTAGACGATCATAAATGACACATTTCAAGCAAAGAGATACATTGTATCTCTTTGCTTGAGATGTATCACATAGCTTCATAAACATCGGGCCAGTCTATGGAGCTGTCAAAACAAATAGCAGGGAGGTGAGTCACTCTGCTGCCTCTGTGCTATTTTCAGCTGTCAAATACCAGAGCGTTATTTAGTGCTCCCGTATTTGCATGTAACGGTTCATTCTTTCATTAATGAAATAAATAAGCTTTTACAAAAGCTTAACTATTTCATCAATGAATGCCTCAATACTGAAGCATTCATTAATGACTGGTAACCGCTGAGAATCAGCAGTTACCGGCATTACAGAGCCTGATATAACTCATCATGTACAGTGTACGTGGCCAGTCATATAGGCACAAAGTGCCGGGACGTACAGTGTACGTCTCCCGTCACGAAGGGGTTAAGAAACCTCATTTAGGCCTCATTCACACTGTATTGTACCATATGCAAATAAATGGCTCCATACACACAGCTGCGTATGGAGCTGTATATTTGCGTAGTGTAAAAATGCGCAACAACAGAATGGAACCGAGATGCGTCCGGACAGCGTATTGACTGCATATTTACGCGCATATACGGATGTTTACACGTGTATAGTGCATTACAATTTCTATTACCAATGATGCATTCTGGGATTGCATATAGTGCACGCATATACGCACATACACGGGTATATATACACGCCTATACGCAATATACAATTTTGCTCTTGCGTTGTGTGTGAATGAGGCCTTAAGGTAAGTGCTAACATTAACATTGGGGGGAGGGAAAACATCTTTTGACTTTAATGTCACTTTAAGGAACATGTGTATAATATCAAGCGAGGATATAAAGATCACTTTGTTTCTAAACATTTTTTGGACGCACGTCATAAAGATCCTGGACTATTACAATTTTGGGGAATAGAAAAAGTATGTAAACACTGAAGAGGGGGTAACTGGCGACGGGAACTGGCAAAAAAAGAGACCCAATGGATCTGTAAAGCTGGTTCACTGAAACCTAATGGACTGAATACAGAATTTGATCTTAATTGCTTTATATCTAATGCCTAAGTTCCCTAATAACCCCCCGTCCTTTCTCCCCCCCTGCCTTTTTTTTAGGGTAGTTCTTCAGTAGGTGATATTTTTATGCCATATATAGTTTCAATTTGTAACATTTATGTACACTTTTTTTATATATTTATTCATATTTTTCAACACCATGTATATGTGCCTGATGGATTGTTTTTA